GCAAGTTTTTTAACTTGCCTAGATAGCCGAGCGGCCTAACGCGCTGTTCCTATACTGCTAGGAGACAGATTCCGTAGGTCGAGAGTTCAACCCCGGGCTGGGGCGGAAGTGAGTATCCTTGTAAAAGTGAATTTCTCTGTGCTTTCTATATTAATATTCCTTCACTTAGGGCAGTTATATTAGTTTAAGAGTTGTTGTAATTTGTGCTTTATAAATAGAATTAATTTCATCACAACATGTATTGGTAACAATCCTCTAAAAACTAATGTCAAAATAACTGTATCTCACTTCCATTCTCAATGACCGTGTAGTGTAGGGCAGCGTTGTGAGAATTCCATCGGCATCGAAAGCAAGTTTTTTAACTTGCCTAGATAGCCGAGCGGCCTAACGCGCTGTTCCTATACTGCTAGGAGACAGATTCCGTAGGTCGAGAGTTCAACCCCGGGCTGGGGCGGAAGTGAGTATCCTTGTAAAAGTGAATTTCTCTGTGCTTTCTATATATATATATATATATATATATATATATATATATATATATATATATATATATATATATATATATATATATATATAAATAAATATATATATATATATATATCATTCTAAAGATAAACATGCAAATAGATTTTTATGTTTCTTTGCGTATTGTGGTTTGTTTTTGTGCGTTACCTAAAGCATTTTTTTTCAAAGAGGAGGTCCCTAATTATTATTACAGCTCACCTGAACAGATAAACTTTGTATTCAGTAGTATGATGTATACAACAATATATAAGGTGCTATCAAATAAAGGTGAAAATAGGCACTTAATGAAACAAAAGTGTATGAAAATGTATCACGTACTTCTTTATAATTTGATGTATAATCATGTGAAGCAGAATTTATACCAGAACCTACATGAGAAGAAGAAAACACTTGATGCGGTCTTTTATTATTCAACCGACATTAAGATAATATTATATCGACGAAATAGAGTCATATCGTCAAGTTTTAGTGAGGAATTTTGTCTATATAGTCGGTAAACTTTCATTTATATGTCCATTCGATATATCCCAGTGAACTTGAAATCAATGGCACTAGTGTCTTTCACATGTTTCATACCTGGATGGTGATCATAGGGGTCATACGCATATGTAGGATTGATTGATCCAGTGATTGTTTGTTGCTTGACGTATCATTCAAGAATGTTTCACTCATATAGAATCGCTAACATGTATCAATGAAGGTCTTCAAATTTAGACCTTTGCAGGTTGAAATTGAAAATTGGGCAGTGAGGTATCATCATCGAGCCAGCACCTGCCATGAAATGGGACCTCAGTTTTCCAGGGCCTCTCCGAAGAACCTCAACATTCTGTTCAAAAAGCCGAGCACCTGGTGAAGAAACAGTCCCTACCTTTTGTATCCGCTTAGGTAAATTGCGGCCGAGATTTGAACCCAGGACCTTCTGATTTTAACTCTATGACAAACGAGATCAACTTTGCCATTGTCAGTTCTTCTTATTTACGTAGAAATATCCCGCTATCATCTGATCTGGTGTTTACATTTCCTAACTTATTTAGAAATTGCTTTGTGTACGATAAGCTTTTTGAAAGAGGTAGGCTACGGACAGATAAGTTAATGTTACAGGGAATTCAACGACCTCGTTTAAAGTCAACATTTTGTAAATTCTGTGGTCGTTTTAATGACCCTGTAAGCAAATATAACCTACCAATAAATATTTTTAAAATATTTATTATTTATCTACGATATCTGTAGCAAGTTTTGGACTGAAGTATTTTAAAAGTGTAGAAAGAGTGAGAAAAAATCACAATAAAATTTACTTGACCAGACGAGCGTTAGAATTTTGAGCATTATGTTTACCTGGTAATTCGATTCTTTATTTTTGGCACTTGTCGATAATGCGCAATTAAACGAAGATTTAATTGAATAGAATCGTTATTGTTCGGCATTAAATTCCAAACTTTGATATTGCGTAAAAATGTCTAAAATAGAACTGAATTGTGTCTAATAATAGCCTGCTATTTTAATATAAATGGGTGTCTTCAACATAAATAGCGAGGAACATATGTGTTTACTTTTCCTTAGAACCATATTACAGACAAGGGTTATTTAATTTTTTTGATTAATCAAGAAAAAGAAAATTAACTTAAACTCAATATTTCAAAAGAAGGTACCTTTTTGCTTCACTGTGCCCTAAAAATAAAATGTTTTCAAAAAGTTTTGAAACTGTCTCAAATATTAGTTGCGTTCATGGCTTTGATTGATAAAGAAAGTATTTAGCATAAAGGTGTCATTCTGGGAATATGACGTCATTAATTTAATGCATTTCTTTATTTTAAGGAAAGTCAAAATGATCCATTTCAAGAGTAATTTCCCTTCAGAAAATAGTGTTCCCAGTTGTCTCCCAAATGAAAGTCATATATGGTTTCTTTTTTTTTTAAATAATAATAAGTATCACACTTACCAAAATTAAAAAGATCTATCTATCAATTTTGTTTCTTTATATAAAGATAGGACTGTTAATTACTTGTACACAATATAAATCAATAGCGGTTTATATAGAAATCTTAATTTTACACAAATAACCAATCGCGGTTTATTTCAGGCTCGGAATTGAGTAGCAAACACAGTTTAAAATCAATTTAACTATAGAAACGTGGGGCTATTTAAGTTCAAAATTGGTGAAAATTTGAATTTAATTGAACGTAAATAACAAATATTATCTAAATCTACACCTAATCTTGTATATTAATTTTTTAGCCCAGATACTTCATATTTAGCTTTAATTTTTAAATATAATTTGTAAAATTCATTTAAAGATCACATATATCAAAATCTATATAGTCGATACCTGTGGACAATATTTTCTGACAGAAAATTCCATTGAAAATTGGTATCTTTCTCAACTTCTCTAGAAAATAAAGGAAAATATGAATGTTCATCACAATTAGCATTTAGAAATGTATGTGAGGAAAATGATCTGCATGATTTTTCCGCATGGAATTTTAATGATTCAGAAAGCATGAGTTTTCTAATTTTACATCAATTTCATTTTTTAAGAAAATCACAAGGAAATATTTGTATTGAAACCGTTCCTTGTTTTAAGTATAAACTACATCAACTTAAAATTCAAATGATTGGCAGACGATAGAAAAAAGGAGATTGGATTGACCAATCCAAATCCTCTTTCGTGAAATATTAAAAAAGAGACTAGATTATTTTAGATGGCAAAATCCTTTTATTAATAACAAAGCTAAAAGATGTATGCAATTTTAAAAACTTTATATCCTAATATATGAGGTATGTTTGCCTATCTATCTCTTGTTGTCCTACCGTCTTTTTCTTTATTTCTGAATGTTTTTAATTTAGAAACTACAATCTTGAAAAAAAATCGATTAAACCAAATCGTTTGCTTCAGTGATTTTGCACGAACACCGTATATTTTTTTTTATTGTATGTTATTATCCATCCCCTTTAAATATTCAACACACAAAATGAGATGTTTTTCTACGTACAGGTATATCCATACACAACCCTGTTCGTCTTATTTAATCCAGAGTTTGTAACCCTCAAAGTGAAGTAAAAGTCTGCGATTGAAGCCCTCTAGTTAATGTTAACATCTTTTAAATAGTTAAAATTCTCAAATGGTAGTGAAAACAAAATGCATGTAATTTGGAAACTGCATATCATAATGTTTATGAGAAAGCTCCTTAGGAATGCATATCGCATTCTCAGTTAGGGCTGTCCAGAACAGCAAGGGAAACATTTATAGGCTGGGGAGCACATGGACCAAGGATCATTTAAAGGTATTTTAATCAAAACATAAACGAATTAGCAAATGATGCAGAAAAAGAAACAAAGATGTCTTCTAAAAAAAAATTTCAATGAATTATATCTGCATTCTGTTTTCTCTAATTTTGAAGACTCCTTCTGGTGAGATCGTATAAACCGAGGTTACATTCGCAGGTGCTGGAACAAAAAGGATCCCTCCCTGCTCAATGGTCCTGAGTGCCGAGGACAAAATATGCAGCTTTCCACCGGCAAGAATTGGTGTTTCCATGAGAGTGAAAAATTCTCGAGAGGGACGTTAAACAACATACAATCAATTAATTAATCCCAATTTGAACCTGCAGGCTTTAATTACGTTCATATATAAACGTAAATTCCTCTCTTTTGGTCGCCCGCGTGGCGCAGTGGTTAGAGCGTCTGTTTTAGAGTCGCTAAGTAGGAAGTTTATCCTTAAGCAGCGGGTGCGAATCCCATTGTGGAGACCGGACTTTTGGATAAGAGAATTTTGTTTTATACTCGACACACGGGGCCATTGAGTACGGAGAAATCTTTTTCGTACCAGCACTTATTGCGACATGGGGTTTATACGGACTCATCCGAATGACCGGTCTACACGTTCCACATTGGGATTCGAACCTTCGACGTAAGGATTAACTCCTTACTTTGCTACTTTAGAGCAGACATTCTAACCACTGCGCCACGCGTGCGAACATGACGACTTTGATAAAAGACATATCCAAATTTTAAAACATGCGAAATTATTTTAATCACATTAATAACTATTTTTACACATAGCTATCACGTGTTTTATAATCGTTTTTATAAGTGAATCAAATTTAACACAAAAACTAAATCAACATCAAAGCAATATGAGCTGCTTTCATGTCAAAATTTTCTGATGCGAAATTCACATTAACTATTTCACGGACATAAAAAAGAGCATTAATATTTATAAACTTCTGCTGTTCATATTTGTAAAATTATATTTACAAGTGAAAATATTACACTGTTGTCCTGAACAATTTTGTTTTCTTAAATGATACTGTATATATATTTGATTGTACAGACGATTTGAAACAATGTAAAATACTAGTACTTAATTTACGTCTAATTGATCATAAAGGTATAAATTACTTAAAAATGTATCATAATAACATATTCTAATAGAGCAAACTTTAATTCTCAACATATTTTAAGGATGATGTCTTTTAGCTTTAGATTTTGTTTTCAGTGATATTCCTCCCTGGTTCATCTTCCGTTTGTTGATAAGTCTTCGTGTTATCTTCATTATGTTCATTTCTGATAAAGAAGACAAAGCTTCTTATAACAGCAACAAGCATGAATACAATACCAAAGCCGACAAGTATTAATGAGTATGGAAATCCGAGAGCGCTGTCTTTCCCCTGTGATGCTTTTCTGGAAGCGTTCGTGGCGATAAATCGAAGCAAGACAGCGAACTCAGATGTAACTATGAATGAAAACAATTTTTAAAAACAATTATGTTTTAAGCATACCATAATTAGGATTGATTTCAACATTTTGATCGTGAAGATTACACCACATATTTTTGGTTTTCTTTATTTGATAGATTGATGTTCTATGGCTATTTACTGATATCAATCACATCAGCATAAAATTCTAAAAGCTGTTACCGGCCACAAGTAGTAAAATTCCCCCAATCACAAACATGGATGGAATCGACACTTTTCTTTTGGTATTCCAAAAAAGGATCAACCATCCGACTCCCCCAAGCACGATAGCAAGGAGACTTTCTATCTGCACATCTATCATTGCTGAAAAAAATATAGTTATTTTAAAAACCGTTTTGTTAGAGTTTCTTGTCCAGGACATCCATAGTATTTCACATATACCGGGTATACATGTATGTACTCCCTCCATGAGACATTATTTAGAATACTTTTTTTTAGATATCGGAGATTAATCAAATAACTATGAACAAAGCTTTTTAAAAATGAGAGAGAGAGAGAGAGAGGGGGGAAAGAGATTCACAGAGCTGAAGCTGCCCTTTGGTTTCATTCTTCTCATCCAGATCTACGTAAGAGCTTGTTGAACATTTATCGTATACACACATCCTGGCGTAAAAGATGCTCATTTTGATACTCTAAAACATTGCATAATATAAATTCCCATATTTATATCCTAAAAATTCATGACTATTTCCTTTTATTGACTCTCAATAAAGGAGTTTTTTTCGTTTATTGAATTTTCAATGAATCAAATATAACATATAAGCATATAATCTATAAAAAAAAGGTGACAGTTACCTCCTCATTTATGAATCCAGGTAGGGCCATGGCAACGACGAATAAAATCCAACCAAAGGCTGACGATAGCAATTCCACATAAAATTTCATCCTTGTTCTCTCTTAAAATATCTAAATAAACGTAAGACTATAATGTGAACAACAAATTATCTTCGTATTTTAAAGATAATAATTTATGCATAATAAAACATATTTTTGCAGTTTCTGCAATATTTTTCTTTTTCCATTCAAAATTGATTTGGTGATAAAAGTGAAGAATTCGGAAAGGTAATTATGAAATTAATATCCAAAAAATAGCTTTTGAAGACAATACATTTTCCGAAATATTGATTGAATATTATGAAAAGAGGAACACAACATTCATGTATATGACTGTTAAAAATGAAGTTGAGAAAAGGCGTGGATCTGGGATTTCTTTTTCTAAAAGGAGAGGGTGGTGGTTCCAACCCAGTCAAGATATTAATCCAAAATTTAATATTTTCATGCATAAAGAAACCTTTATTTTCTTTCCCTTTTTTCTTTTCGTCTCAAATCCAAGAAAATATTTAAACAAATTGTAAAACAGAAATAACTATACTGAAGAAGGATATGCTAAAAATAGTGTTTTCTTTAAAAAAAAAATTCACATTAGTAATTGAAAAATAGATAAGTTTTTGAAAACCTTTGAGAGAGTTCGAGTGCATTAATTAGCAATTTTCCATTTGATTGCCTTTAAGTTACCTGAATAAGTAAAGAAAAACTCATTTTAAGTACGAAGCAGAAATTACCTGGGCTCGACGATACAATTGTAAAGAGTATATTTTTTACGTCATAATGCAGTCGATCTTGATGTATACTGAAAATCAATTCCACTTTTCATATACATGTATGTCATTAAATGCATTTTACTTTTTGGATTAAAACTTTCTTTCATGTGAAAACTTTACTAATGTTTGTTTAAAAATAAAATGAGTTTTGACCTACCTGTACGAGAGCTCTTCAGTACGGATGTGTTATACGAAACTACAGTTTATGTTGATGTATAATATCAAAGAAAACGACGTGATATATCCATAGCACTATATTTGTAAAAAAAAAAAAAATGGCATTATCCATGAATTAATATTCTCAAAAGTAATGTATATTTGTAGATTCGACTTTTCAGCGGGTGTTGTGATAGGTTATTTTGCGTAGGTTAAACCGTTTTAAAAGAGGGGTCCCTCACAATTATAGCTCACCTGATCATACAAGCTTTCTATCAAGAAGTCTGGTGATAATGGTGCTAGTGTATAAAGATGAAAACAAAATACTTGCACTATTGAACCATTGAAAACGGGATTTAAGACACTCTGCTGTATCTCAAGATTTTTTTATGAATTTTCTTTTTCAGAAAGTCTCTACCCTGGAGTTTTATGACTGGATATGTTATCTCCCTTCTCAAGAAAGTTCATAATCCACCCCTTATGATCTTTTTTATTATGTATTCCTTTGTCCGAAAACAAGATAAAAGGGAAATGATTAATTTTTATTGAAAGTAGGTGACATCAAAAGGTACGACTTCATTAAACTTTAAATACAATGATCCTACCTCTGATATTTCGGAGGTCCATGTTTGCTCTGCTCCTATTTTGTATTGTTTTATGGACTTTGATATTAAGTACTGTTCGTTATCATCATATCCTTCTTCATACAACCATCATTCACGTGAAATCGAAAAAAAAAATAATATCATTGATAACTGCTTCTTCAGTAAAAATGTAGGTAGATATTTTTCCTATAATTTGTTTGGTCATCAACCAAATTGTTTTGTTAAGATCACTGTTAAGAGTACTCTGAAGATGATATTAATAGCCTGCTGCTGTTCCTCATTGACAAAATTATGTAGTCTTAGGTGAACAGATCTTCCAACAAATGTCGGCCTTGTTGAGTGTGCGTCTTTAGTAGCTAACTTTCATATTCCTTTGAAGCAGTATTTATTTCAAATTTACATGAGAAGAAGAAAACAAAGATTGCGACCTTCTATTCGACATTTAGATATATTGACTATGTCATATCAGTTAACAAAAGTTACTTTTATTCATGTTCGATATTCCAGTGATCTTGCAATTAAAGGCATCACTGAGTCTGACACATCTGCCTCATATTCCTATGTTTTTCTGATTTTAAACGAAAAGGGCTTACTAACAACTAAACTGTGTAACAAAAGAGAAATCTTCAATTCTTCCATCTTTAACTGTCCTTACCTACCGTAGGTAGCTATATCCCGCTATCACCTACATATGGTGTACATCTCACTGCATTCATTACTCGAGAACGTGTTCCGTGTACGATCGTTTATTTAATAAGAGCAGCCTATAGCTAACTAATTGATAAGTTGGCGTTACAGGGATTTCAAAAACCTCCTTAAACGCGTCATTTCGTTAAATCTATGGTCGTTAAAATGAACTTGTATGCAAATGAGACCTATCAATGGATCGTATTTAGTCTGACTTATTCATATCAATTGTTAAACCTCTGTTTTTATACTCAATACATGGTCAACGGTGGGTGGGATCGGTCGATAGGGGATGCCTACTTTTCCCAGACACCTGCTCCCACTCGTGGAATTTCCAGGGGTCCGTGTTTATGCCCCTTCGAGGGCAATGTATTTGTGATTTAAAAAAAAATTGTTTTCAAGTAATTAATTGCTGAGTAAACATTAGTATCGTAGAAGAGCTTCCATACATTGTCCTGAGGTAAAAGTAAACCGTAAACTGTAAAAGTCAACGCTCCTCACAAAAGTTCACTAGTAGTACTATAAAATCGTATACAAAACATTATTTACATGTAACTGGGACACAAATATACGCTACAAATAAACCAGTCATAATATTTCTTGGACAACGTATAACAAGAGTGCTGCTATATAAGGGGAGAAATAAATCGTAGAAAAAATTGCTTGACCAGGTAAGCATAAGAATCTCGAGAATTATTTACCTGGAATTCGTTCCTTTATTGTTGGCAAATTTATCAAATAAATGGATGAATCAATAATTGTATTTCTTTGATAATAGCTTATAAGGGAATAAATTTAAAAAAAAATAAAATCACAGTAAACTTCACTTAGCCAGGAGAGCGCAAGAATCTCAAAAATTATTTATTTACCTGGTAATTCGATCCTTTATTGTAGGCAAATTTCTGTACTGCGCAGTTAAAAAGAAGATTTAACAGTACAAATTTGTATCAATATAAATTGTTAATTTTGACAACTGTTCGGTTTTTAAATGAATGTCTTTAAACAGGTCTGGGCGGCCTCCGTTTTTGGAGGATAGCTAGATTCAATATGGCAACCAAATTTTTTACCATATATGGAAATCGCAACGCAATGTCGGATAGTTTATCTTCTGAATTCAGAGGATAACACAGGTTATTTTCAAACGCCTCGTGCCTACCTTTAATCAAAAAGTGCAAGCACCAGAGTACAATTAATTAAAAGATCAAACATTAAACTATCGATTGTATGTGGCGATTTGAGATTCTATGTCTAGAATTTTTACAATACGCTTTCAAAGTTGGCACTTCTTGTGCTTCATTTCTACTTAATGTTTCTTGTTTTTTTTTTTGTTGTTTTTTGTTTGTTTGTTTAATTTTTATATTTTTCCCTATCAGGACAAATAAAAAGGCATTTATAAATGCTCAAACAATACATAAATAACATTAATTTCATATTTTCTTTTAATTAAAAATTAGAGAAAAAGGATACACAAAAGAAAAAATACTGTAAAGACAAAATACACTCTGCCTGATAATTTAAGCAAAGATAAAATAAATATTATTTAGAGAAAATAAGAAAAAAAATCCCACTTTTTAGCTGTGCAGCATCCAAACTTCAGCTAGAGTTACTGGATGAGGCCTCGACGGGGAGTATACATCCGCAGTATATATATATTTCCACGGACAACGTAAGTTTCAGTCAGATTAGTTTTGATGTCAACAACGGGTAGACATAACTGAATTTAAGTTTAACTGAAATGGAGGACGGTATAACCTTGCCGTAGATGGAGATTGATCCCAATTTATTTCAAGGGTCTTAATAGTTCAATTTAATTAGATACACGTACAGGCGATACACACAGTTCTTTACTTTAATATGTGTACGAGCTTTTGATAAATTGGATCAGATTTGTTTTTTGACCGTGCTGTATTTTAGATACAGATTAGTTGGCTTATTTAGCAGTACAGAAGACTAATACAGAACGGAAAGTAGCTCCGACCACTCCGACCCGTGCAGAAGAGCAAACTTCAAAGAAAAACATCTCTATTCTGTCATTAAATGAAATAATAATGAAACTGAATTTTTCAAAAAAATGTTGTTTTTTTTTTTAAAATTTAATACTGTTAACACATAAATTATGGTACCAGAAAATGGGCTTGGCTATAATTAATTTTCAGACAGGAAAGGGTAGAAAAATCAGCGTACGGTACATAAACCGAGAACTGCAAGAGTTGCTGTTATTTTTTTGGTTTAGATTGCCCTTTGTTTTGAAAAATCCGGTAGGTGTCGACACCTAAATCCTCTGTTTCTAGAGGATAAAATGTATCCTCCAAAAACAGAGGCCGCCTAGACCTGTTAAACCTGTTTAAATTATCGAGAGTAGAACCGTTTACGAATAGTCTGTGATTTTAATGAAATAACGTGTCTTCTACCATTTTAATGAAAAAATATTTTAGAAAATGGCAGAAATGAAAATAAATGTTTGTTTCTTCTCAGTCATATACAGGTAACAGAAGAGGAGTTTTTTTAATTCTCCAAATTATCGAAAAAAGAAAGAAAGCCATGTCCAAATCTTTAGTTTAAAATATGTTTTATTCATA